CTCGCGCGCGCGACCAGAGGCGCCTGCCGCGGCCCTTAAGACCAGCAGTACATATTTGATGGCATCGGAACGCGTCCAATCAGCGGGGCGGGCGAAAAGCTGTCGTGGCGACGAAAAGGGGCGCCACAGCGCAGACATTATTGATGATGTCCGCGTAATGACGACGAGCAGGGGGCCATCGGGACGTGCCTTCCGCTGGCAGCCGGGGCTGGCCGCCGGGGCTGGCACCAGCACCCGCGGCTCCCGTGTCCCCCGCCAGACACTCGTCCAGTATGGAGCGCCCGGTCGCGGTGCCCCTCCCTGAGGTTGTCGTGTGGGGCGTGCGGTACCCCACACGGCAGGCTGACTGAGCTCAACCGCGGCGTGGCGGGCGGGGCGGGCCCCGGGGCCGCGCCCGTGCCTGATGTTTGATTCATGGAGGTCCGTCTCGCACCGGCCACGCGGGGCGCGACGCACCGCGCGACGCGCCGGGCCGCGGTCGCCCCACCACGCGATCGGCCGCCACGCCCCGCCGGGGCGGCCGCACCGCACGCACCGGCCAGCCCATGAGGGGGCCGTCATAGGCCGTCGAGTCCATGGGGCCTGCGCCAGGCAACGCGACGGCCGTTGACCGAGTCCCCCGCCCCACGGCTCCTCTTCTTGGACTCCCCCATCATCGTTGTGTGCCCTCATCAAGTATGCGCTTCCGATCGGGGAGGTCAGCTCGGGGTCCCACCCCAGCCTGCAGTACACGGCCCTGCAACCGGGAGGATCTGCAGGTTGCGGGATCCACGTCGTAGGTCTGTAGGTCGTCGTAGGCCTACGGGCAGGTGGTCGGTGTCCCTGTCCCGTAAGCCAAGGTGTAAGGTCTAGCACCTTGCCGTAAGCGTCTCCTCCTGCTGTTTAGTACTGGGTGTGCCTACCCGCTCTGCCCGTAAGGCTCCATAGCCCCTTGGGTCGGCAAAACCGCCCGCACTTGTGTCTTTTGTGAAACACTTGGTACATGAGCCCGGAAGACTTGCCGTCGGGAGGGGCTGCATTGAGTGGCTAAGGTGCTTGGCCTTCATGTCGGTTCGGTTGCCAGCCGCGCCCATGTAGGAAGCGAAGCGCCTCCTCGGGCGAGCTCTCGAGTTGCACTGTCCGGTCGTGCACCTCGTCACTTGCTCGTCCGTCTCGTCGCGGTCTCCGGCCGCCCCGCCCGCGGCTGCGTCGGTGACTCACTCAGTGACGTCACGGCCTCCCCTCGCCGCCCTGGCCGCCCGCGGCTGCCTCCCCTCGCGGCATGGCCGGGGGAGGGCGGGCGAGAGGGTGGCGCTGGCGGCGGCCCCCGCAGGCCGCGCAGCCTGAGGCGGTCGAGGCCGCTCTCCTCCACGAGGTGTATCGACGCGAGCAGCCACGCGTGCAGCCACGTCTGCCGCGTTGTCCTCTCGTCCAGGTCCCGTCTGCGGGGCAACCTCGGCAACCTCTGCACGGTCGCGTTGTCGTCCATCCGGAACCGTCCGGAACGCTCCGGCGGCCGCCGCCTCCGGCTCGCAGTCGGGCCAGTGTAAACTCGCAAGGCATGTTCCTCGCTCGGTTTCCGGTGCGGGTCACAATTACCTCGGCCTCCTCCTCACTCGCGCCCTCCCACCCCCCATGTTCTCTCCGGGACTCGTGTGGAGCATCGTGAAGTGCGTTTTCGAACGGC